TGCCTGTAGGGTGACCCGCGACCATAGAGATTTAAACAGATTTTATAAGGTAAAAATAATAAAACAAGGTCTTTGTCCACAATGATTAGACGTTTTTTTATTATTGTCATGAGTGATTATCTCAATTTTGGCTAAAAGAATTGACAAAATCCTACACACTGTGTCTTTAAGTATTCAACTGCAGCTGACTAACTTTTGGAGTCAACCTAATTCAAGATGGTTGCTTGACCTAACCTACCATAGCAAACACATAAATTGCTATAAATYAGTCAGTTTAAYTGATAGTGWGCTAAAATTTGKTRTGGTAGGTGAAAGTAATTCCCAACACATACTCCGAGCACAAACAGATAACACAAGATCTTTGTTTAAAACCTTAACGTGCAAGCCTGCAGGTGTATGCATCGTTTTAAAGAAATAACAGTCTATATGGTTCGATTGTCTTGCAATATTTTAAATGGAAGCAAATTTAAGGGAAAATATGTACTGTATGTCAGCTTGTTTAATAGCTGCTGAAKGTTCAAATTTGTTGTCATGAAAAAATTACATTTGAAAATTTACATAGCTTGAAAACCACAAAACATGTAATTGATACTCCAAAAAAACTACACTTTTCACCCCCTCCTAACTGCCTGAGAAACATCCCTGTGAGCACTGGAAGCAATTTTAGCACTTAGTCCTCATTTAGCCCCAAGTATCTCGGCTAAATATGTACTCTAATTTGCTGAAACTTATAAATAAATTTTCATAACACACAAAATATGTACAGACGCACAACCCAAAACTGATTCTGAGAGCCCAAACTGAGGTCTCGTATAAAATAAAAGGGAAATATTGTAGAATTATAGCTTCAAATTAGCCTTTTAGATTTTACTAGCAAATCAAAACCTGAAACTAGTTTAATTTAACATCTCAAAGAAACAACAGATGGGATGTGCTCTGACAAGCTGCCACTGGGACATTAGAACAGTGTTGAAGCCCTGTTTTTGTAAACTTCTGGCTGATTTACTCAGTTACATGCAAAAGGCACATGAAATGCTGATAAAGTTCAAGTCTTATTAATTTAATTTAACCTAACAGTGCTCACTGGAACAGTTTGCCTTGTGTGTATAGAAAGTTTGAAACCCTCACATACACAAACCTAAACAAAAAGATTTGTTGATGACATTTTACATTCAGTACCTCCCGGCATGGGAATCGTGAGAACATAAAGCAATAAATAGCATGGTGAGAACASGTTTTTTTAAACCACTGAGCTATTTTGACCACACTGAGACACAATAGAATCATGCAGTTGCTGCAGATTAGAGCTCAATGTTATTCTGTTTGTTGAGTTCTTGGTTCTGTGGAGGCCAACCGAGTCCAGTGGACTCCAAGTTAACAAAACAACCTGAGACGATAAGAGCTTTGTGACGCAGTAGTTATACAGTCGAGTGTAGCAAATAAAACATGGCCACACAGCAGTCATAAAAGGATGGCAAACAATATTTTMAATGATGCTTTCTCGGTAAAAGTGCATGTCAGTTTGAGTTTCAGCTACTGTTCATATAAATTGTATTTGTGAGATTTTGTATATGTACTGACAAACGCTCAAACTCAAAACAAAGACAAGGAACACCTAATAAAGGAATGAATTAGACCGTTTAATTGCATCACTYAAGTGCGTCATTTCCACTTATTTGAACATCACAGTCTCTGAATCCAAGATTTACATCAACAAACAGAAGATGCTGAAACAACGTAAAAAGCACAGAAGATCAATAAACCTTCTGGATCTGTTATGAAATGCTCACAGAACATCAGCTGACCAGACGAGGGCAGGCCAGCCTCTGTAATCAATGTGTTTCTCATTACGGACGCTCAGGGGCCGCACACTATGGCTCAAGGCCTCTCAGCAGTCCGTCTCCAAACAATGCCAACTATTTTCCTCCCGAGTCTCCTCACTTCCTGGTACGGAGTGGGCCCTTTCGCCGAGGGCTGAGCATTTCTCACATACAGCTGTCCCACTCTGTCTCTGTCTGGATTTTCACCCTGAAACACTCATCTCCTTCTCAGAAAGTCCACCCACCTGGAGCGAAACGACACGTCTCAGTTTCAGTCCCGTAGACTATAAACATTTGGTCCCCGAGAATGTCTTTAAAACAATAAAGCACTTCAGTTGTGCTCATAAAACAAGCAAAAATGATGCACATCTGATGAACAAACAGATAGTACTTGTTTGAGGCTACTACAAGGCGGTGTGTTTTTTGAACAGTCGAGTCGTTGCACAGACACGGAGCATTTCAAAATGTAAATATGCACACCAGTCAAAATAAAAGGAAACATAGGTTAAGGAAAACTCACCATATGTACACAAAGAGCATGGATGAGTGGGTGGGAGCTGTAGAAGAGCTTAATCAGGATTATTCATATTATAACTAAGTTTCCTTTAAAGCCCTGCTCTCTGTGGAGATTTTACATTAATAGTGGCCATGCCCCACATGTTTGAAACCATTTATAAAACATATTGTGTCTCAGTCCCATTTGATCATAAGCTAATCTAAGTTTTGATAAAAAATTAGATAAGTAATTTTAATATTTATAGTTGTAGGTAACCATCCGTCCAATTTTATGATGCACAGACTAAAGTTTACCWACTTTTATGAGTCAATCAGACTTCATGATCTGAGCTTGAATTACAACAACACCAGGTTGTTAATAGCAGAATACAAATATATGTTTTTCATTATAAACACAGCATCACACCATGTATGTCTTGCTTCTTTTTCTGTTTTGCGCCATTATGAAACTGAGAAGAGGAGCTCTAAATAAAACCTGTTAATTAAGCCATGGTTAATCGGGGCACTTTGTTACACTCATGGACCTGCTGCTCATGTG